AACCTCCTCCCTCATCACAACATTATTTACCTGCTCCTCGGTCCCCTCTGAATTCCTCCCGCGGGACACCTGATACAGAAGCGCGCGCAAACAAACACACAAACAAACAAGTAAACACGCAATCGGCAGCAGGGCCAAACAGCCAAACACCGGTTGTTTAACCCAGAGCTGAATCGCGAAGAACAAGGGGAGATTACTCGCGGGCAATTCAAACAGCCACCGGATCTGATCGTCTGCGGAACTTTGGTCATTCGATTTGATCGAGGATTCAGACGCCTTCGTTTCTCTGCTTTTTTTCGGACGCCTTCTCTGCTTACTAAAAAAAAATATAAAGAAAAGAAAAAATATTTTAAAAACGGGAGAAGTGGGGAGGAGACGTAGGAAGAAAAAACCCAAAACAGTGACACATTCCTCCCTTCCTCTTTTTCAGCAACAATTAAAAATATGAAACAGCAGTACGGAACTGTTTTTTAATCATGAAATCTTAACATTGTTAAACAAATGTTTTCAGAGAAACACAAATCTGATAGCTACAGTAGATTCCGTTCACTCTTTACACTTTTTGTTTCCCTTAGTGCAGTACAGTTGATGGTTTTAATCACCCCGAGGAAACTGGATCCGGTGTCCACAATCAGAAGCCTCGTTCTGACCCAAGTGCATGTGGCAACATGTCGGAGGCTCTGGGGCCCAAAGTGTGCTTGAACCCAAGTCTCCAACCCTTTGTAGATATTGGACAATCCGACGCTGGGATAGAATATAACGACACGAAAGCTTTTCTTGATTTCTTGTTTCACAGCTCGATACTTGAATGAACTGATTTACACCCGACTTTAGAGAATAAACAGAGGGCTATTATTATTCTTGTAATCTTTGCTTCGCTAGCTATTTAAAACCGAATCTAAAAATTTAGACAAGGTTTTCGTTCAGTTTTTGTGTCATCCCTTCTTCATGTACTCAACAGAACCAAAGATTTAAAAAGAGAAATGGAAGCTTTCGCTGCTCTTTCCCCATCCCCCCCCTCCTCCTTGAACTGTAGATTAAGAGTACTTTACACCCACTTCGACACAATTTAGATAATTTTGAAAGCCGTCTTCGACCCTGTCTTTCAGGATCAACCTTGACTAAGAGGTTTGCGTGGTCTCAGCGGAAAGATCGAGAAACAGTCAATTCTGCTCTAATGGCCACATGTCCAAGACAAACATCTG